GCTCCCCCCTCTCCTCCTCCTCCTCCTCCTCTTTTTCCTCCTCCTCCTCCTTCTCCAAGCGCAGCCCCGCCCCGCTGGCCCCCCCTTTTTTCTTTTTTTTGCCTATTTTTTAGTGTTTTTTAGGATTTTTTCCTCCCCCCCCCCCCCCTCCCCGCCTCAAGGGCTGGGGGAGGGACGAACCTGTTGCGGAGGGAGCGGCCCTCGCAGGTGCAGCCGGCTCCGGGCTTTAAGGGGAAGGGATTTGGGGGTTTTTGGGGTTTTGGGGTTTGGGGGGGACACCCAGAAGAAGCTGGGCGCCCCTCTGAAGGGCCTCGGGGAGCCCGAGGTGGCGGCGAGGAGGAACAAAAGGGGAAAAACGAGAATTAAAAAGTGCCAGCGCCAGGCCTCGCACCCCAGGCCCTCCCCCCACAAAACGCCCCCGGCCCACGCACGGCGGCTGTGGAAATCCCAAAGGGGGAGAGTTTTGGGGGCACCCTTTTTTGGGGCAGCCGCTTTTTGGGGGAGCCCCTTTTTGGGGTCTCCTTTTCACCCCCCGCCTCCCGACCCCCTTTCTCTCCCCGCCTCCTCCGTCCCACTCGCGGCGGGCACGGCTCCCCCGCGGAGCCCCGGGGGTGGTTTTATGATGATTTTTATGATTTTTTATTTTTATTTTTTTTCTTTTTTTCCCCTCCTGCTCCGGTTAAAAAGGAAAGAAAGAAAAAAAAAAAAAACCCAAAACGTGTAAGAACGAAAATCGCCTAGGTGGGAGGCGGCCGGGGCGCTCGGCGCCGCTCGTCGGACGGCTCCGCTTGGTTTTTAGGGGGGGGAAAATAATAAAAAAAAAGGGGCGAAAGGGAGGAAATAAGGCAAGGCAGCGGCCCGGGGAGTGGGGCTGAGTGAGTAAAACCCCATGGGGAGCGCCCGGAGCCCGGCAGGGGGGGCGCAAAGGGGCTGGGGGGCTGCGGGGAAGGGGGCTCCGTGCGGCTCGGGGAACCTCGGCAGGGGCTTTTCTGGGGAGGCGGCCCCATCCCCGACCCCATACAGTCCCCATCCCCTATCCCCATCCCAATCCTTTATCCCCATCCCAATCCCTTATCCCCATCCCAATCCCCTATCCCAATCCCTTATCCCCATCCCAATCCCTTATCCCCATCCCCTATCCCTATCCCCATCCCAATCCCCATCCCAATCCCCATCCCATATCCCCATCCCATATCCCCTATCCCCATCCCTCCCCCGGTTTCTCCTCTCCCCGGCAGCCGCCTCGTCCCGGCCGTTTCGTTTCTGCCTTCGGGGGAGCGCCGCCGGCTCCTTTTCTTTCCTATTTCTCCCTTTTTTCCCCTTTTTTTCCCTTTTTTTTCCCCTTTTCCAGGACGGGCACAGCGGCTCGCCTGCCCTCCCGAGGAAAGCAAGCGGGAGGCTTTCCCACATGGCTTTTTTATTATTTTTTCCCCATTTTTTTTCTCTCTTTTCCCCCAAGTTTTTAAAGAGCAGCCGAAAGGGATCGCCTGCCTCCCGCCCCAGGCAGTGGGGTGCTTTATAGGGCTGCGCTCCTTGCAGGCTGCCTTCCTCGCACGGCTCCGAGCTCCCAGCAACCTGCCGAGGGGCTGAGCGGCTCAAAGCGGGGACAAAAAGGGGCGAAGTGACCCCAAATTGCGCCTTTGGGGGGCACAGGCGCTCTCTGCTGCGAGAAGGGGATTTTTTGGGAAAAGCCTCCCATCCAACTTGTAGGGTTTTAGCGGCGGAGCGCAGCCGCTCAGCGCCTTTCCAAGCGGGATGGAGAGATCGGATGCAATCCCCCCCAAAAAACGCTATTTTTTAAGAAAGAAATGATATGAAATCCTGCTTCCTAACAACTTTCCCGAAACGGCCAGGGCTCAGCCTGCCTTCGGAGGGAAGCGGGGAGGATTTGGGGCTGCGGGTTTTTTGGGGTCGGGGCGGCAATTCCTGGGTCCCGAGCGGCGTTTCCCAATGCACGCTTTGCTTTACAGAGCTGCCGGCAGCCGGAGCCGGGGGGGATCCCCGCTGGGTCACCACGTGGAGGAAAAAAAAAAAAAAAAAAAAAAAAAGCTCGATTTTGTAAAAAAAAAACTAAAAATAATAAATAAAAAATCCCCCATCCCTCCCCGGGGTGGCACGGAGAGCCGGCGGTGCGAGCCCAGCTCCCAAGCTGCGGGGAGAAGGCAACGCGGGGACGGCTTTTGGGGGTGGGAAATAGGGGAAAGAAGGAAAAATAATCAAAACTAATAAAAATAAAATTCTACAAAAGGTATCTGAGCAGGAGAAGGGGGTGAGGGAGGGGTGAGGGAAGGGCTCTGGTGCCGGGCTCGCCGTGCCCGCACCTCCAGCGGCCGGGGGCGGCTGGGGACACGGTTTTTCTTTTGGGGTTTTTGCTTGCCCGGTGTCGGGGGGGTCCCGGAGCACCCCCGGTCGCCACCGGCCTCCCAAATCCCAGCCGGGGCCCCGGAGCCCCGGGCTGAGAGCGCTCCCGAAATGGGCTCAGAAAGCCGGATTTCGGGAAAAACCGCGCAGGGAGCAAACCTGTTCCGCGCGTCCAAGCGGAGCCGGACCCGCAGCAAACCCGAGTGACCTCCAGGCAGATTTTAGGGCTTTTCCTTATTCCTCTTTTTTATTATTATTATTTTTTTAACCCATTTCGCTCTGGAAACTCTCCGCGCCGTGATTCCAGCATCGTTATTCCGGGCTCCGCTGCCTGCCCCAGGAGTGCGCGGCCAGGTCGCAAAAAAACTTTTGCAAAAGTTTTTATTATTATTATTATTATTAATTTTTCTCGTTCCGACGGATCCCTGCGAGGTTTTAGGATCCCCCCTTTGGCTCCCCCCTCCCCAAATCGCCTCGCTTTTGGCCAGCTCGGCGGCTCGCTGCGGGGCTGCGCAAACGGAGCGCGGTTTTTCGGGGTGTTGCGGAGGCTGAGCGAAAATCCCGGGACGGTAAGAGCCAAAAAACTGGGTGCAGGCTAAGGGCAAAATCGTTGTTTTGAATTGAGGTGGTTTATTGATTTATTTATTTATTTTTTTTATCTATCCATTTATTTATTTATTTTCTCCTTGCCCGCTGTAGCTGGAAAGTGTCAGCCGCAGCCTCGGTGCTGCTGCGTAAAATTAGGGGAGGCTTTAAAACGTGGGAGGATGTGTGCGGCAAACAGCGACAAACCCTACAGAAATGCAAGAACCTGGGCTTGGAGGGAGGTTTCCCAGCCACGACTTGTTATTTTTTCCCTGATTTTTTTTCCTTTCCCTTTCTTTCATTTTCTTTCTTTTCCCTTTTATTTCTTTCCCCCTTTCTTTCATTTTCTCTTTCTTTCCTTTTCTCTTTTTTCTTTTTCTTTCTTTTTCTTTCCTTCTTTTTCATTCTTTTTCTTCCTTTCCTTTTCTTTCTTTCCTTGTATTTCTTTCCTTTCTTTCTTATTTCTCCTCATTATTTTCCCCGCGACTATTTTTCCTCTAAACCCTCCGTTCCTTCCGAGCAGCCGCAGGGGCAGGGGGCTCCGCTTTTGGGGTGCCCCCGGCGACCCCAAGCCGGGCACGGCCGCGGGGAGCGGAGCGGGGCAGTGGGGTCGCGGCCACCCCGCTCCTCCCCGTTTACCTCCGGGAACCCGCTATCCCCATTTCGTTCCCCAACCCCAAAACCTTCCCGGCGACGAGAACCAAATCTGCCCGTCCCGACGGGCTCGAGGTCCGGGGCACCCCCTCGGTGGCAGCTTTCCCAGCGCCCCGTTTTAGGACGTTTTGTCCCACCGAGATGGCCCCGACCCTATAATTTCGGGCGTCCCCACTGCCGCCCCCGGGGGCACCGGGGCTGCCCGGTTCGCGTCTCGCCCAACTCGGCGCAGATTTGGGTGAGAGCTGAGGTGGGCTGAGCGCTGCAGATGGCCGCGTTTAAGCCTCATTTTAGGGCACAACCTAAACTCGGCGGGTTTCAATCCCGTCATTAAAAACCAAAACCCAGCAAACCACCAAATGCAAATCCTCGGCGTCCCGGGCGTCTGCCGGGACTTTTCTTTCTGCCGGCACACGGGGAGTTGTTTAACGCACGGGAAGGAGCGACGGGTTCCCTCCTTGGAGCAGGAGGTCAAACGATGCAATTAGGAAACAAAATAAAAAACACCCTATAAAAGAAAACCAACAAAAAAAAAAAAAAACAACGACCGAACCAGAAACAAACAAACAAACAAACAAACCCCAAACGCAGCCAACTCCGGAGAGTCACGAGAGGCTGGAATATCTCCGGGAAAACAAAAAAAGGGGGAAAAAGGGGAAAAAAAAAGACAACGAACAATTGCTTTTCCAAGGGTTTGGGGTTTGACCCGGTTGCGTCCTTGTGCGGGGAGGGGAGGGGGGACCCGGGGGGTCTCATCCTGCTCCCGGTGCTGTGAACGGGGCTCGGGGCCGGGAGCTGGGGGCTGCCACCGGGGCCGTTTGGGGATTTGGGGGTCGGGAGGGCGAGGAGGTGCCGCGGCGCTTTGGGGTTTCCCCAAAGGAAACTTTGTGGTGCCTTGGGAGGACGTGGGCAGCCGGGGACAGCGAGCGTAACTCCTGGAAAGCGAGAAAAAGAATGAAAAACCAACCAATCAACCCCCCAAAAAAGCCCTAAAAACAAAACTTTCAGGGGCTGGCACTCGCTTCGGGTCATTTTCGCCCCTCTCCATCCCAAAGCGCCAGGCGCGGCGTTTGGGGCCGTTTCGGCAGCCCTTGGTGCCGGCTGCCCGGCTCCCGGGGGGGCCGCGCTCAGCCCCCAGCCCTGCCGTGCCCGATGTCCCCGTGTCCCCCGTGTCCCCCCCGGGGCATCCCTCCCCTCCCCTCGGTGTCCCCGGGGTCCCCTTTTGGTCCCCCCCGGGTCCCCATCGCGCCCCCCGACGGCGCTCCCCTGCGCCGGGCGGGACGAGCGGCTTGGCGAAGTCGCAGCGGCTTTCAAGTGAATTAGGGCTTCTCGGTAATTTATTATTATTATTATTTTTTTTAATTGTTCCTCTGCACCAGCCTCTTATCTTTCCCTCGCAGGCGGCCGGAGCGGTGAAAGCTGTCCCCCCCCTCTCCAGGCTGCAGCCACCGGGTGCCTCTCCAGCTGCTGCTGCGGGTCAGTATTTTGGTCACCTGTGTCCCCTCCCCGGTTTTTCTCGCTCCTGTCCCCTCGAGGGTGGCCCTGGGATGTCCCCGGGCACGGCGACACCCGCAGAGAGGGTGGCACTCGCCGGGTATGGGGCCGCGGGGGGACACCGAGGGGGGAGGTGGCACCCGCAGGGGGGCTGCGGAGGGGCAGGGACAGAGCTGGGACGCTTTAGGGTTGTGCTGGGATGATTTAGGGTTGTGCTGGGAATTGAAGGGACAATTTAGGGTTGTGCTGGGGCAGTTAGGACAGGGTTTGGAAGGTGCTGGGACAATCTTGGCACGGTTTAGGACAGCTCTGAGACAGGCTGGGAGCCCAGGGGGGATTGAGCCCCCATCCCTGGTCCTGGTGCTCAGCGTCTTGGGGGGAAGGGGAAGAGAAAGGGAAAAAGAAAGAGAAAGGGAAAGGGGAAGGAAAAAGAGGAAGAGAAAGGGAAGGGGAAGAGAAACGGGGAGGGAAGGGGAAGAAGAAGAGGAAGAGAAAGGGGAAGGAAAAAGGGAAGGGGAAGGGAAAGGGGAAGGGACCCCTCCGAGGGCAGGCTGCAGGCAGCCACCGCCTCCCACTTGTGCTGTCTGCCCGTGGGACGTCCGCCTCTCCCCGTCTCCTGGATGTAAAAATCAATATTTTGCCCCAAGTTTGAAGATATGACTGATAGTATCAGCCCCTCCTGGTTTCTCTGCAAGTGCACCGAGTGCACCTTGTGGTTTCCTCCCTTTTTATGTTGTTTTTAAGCCTTTCCCCTGCTCTGGGTCAGCCGCCGGCAGGCAGTGCAGCGCAGCAGCCCCTTCCTCCGCCCCACACCTTGGCCTGGGAGCTGGAAACATGAAGGCAAAGGGCAAAAATTAAAACTGCCCCAAACTTTTTTTTTGGGGAAAAAACAGCCATCAGAAAACCAAACCCCAATGCTCACATGCCAGCAGCGGCCCTTCAGAGCTCCAGAGCTCTGGGAGCGTGAGTGGGGGACAACGGCTCCTGGAGAATAATTCAGATTTATCACACAAATCGTATCAAAGACATCACTATTCAGCTTGAAAATCACACTCAGAAAGGCTCTGGGGAGTTGTTTTCATCATTACTTTTGCTCAGAGGTATTAAATGCAGTTTGTCCTTGGCCATATGCTTGTGGACCAAATTCATTAAAGATGCGTACGCTGTACAATCCCGCAGAGCAACTCTAATCACCAGTGGGTTTTATTTGACTTGGCAATGTAACGGTGGCGATTTGACTCATCAGGATGTAAATTAAGAGTAAATAGAGAAGAAGCGTTGCTCTGCATACATCTGAATTTACATTTCCTCATTTTAATAGATTAATTACTGTTTCTTCTCCGCCTCAATAAGTGCTCCAGGGGGAATTTGGAGAGGAGTAACCACTTAGTGTACTAAAGGGCTAGTGCACAGGGAAACTTGGTTCAGTATCTCCAATATACATCTGCGTAAGAGAAATGAAAGTGGTTTGAGTAATGAGGTGTGTGCATTTGCGGGGAGCCTTGTGATGTGTAGACGTGGTGGTGCTGCTCCTGCTCCAGCGCCAGCTCCTGCCAGCAATGCCCAGTGCTTAAGCATGGTGTGAGGTACCACTTTTTAACACTTTTTATCAGCTTTTACACCCTGCTCTTGTTCGTATGTTGCCTGCTTGGCTTGTAAGATCATTTTCTGGGAGCCCAGAAGCCGTCTGACTCCCTACAGCTATTAAGCTACGGTGATCACGGGGAGCTGTAGTGTGCTTACAATATGTGGTCCTCATGGTATAGCCCAATGGCCTAAGGATACAAGCAAGACAGATAAAAATTACCAAATGTTATACGAAGAGGAAGTCTCGTTTGTTATTAAAAGCATGCCCGTGTAAGACGATATTCGGAAGGGATTTGCTCATCGCAGAGTAGCTACCTTGTCTCAGTAATGCAGCGTGCCTTTTATTGCAGCTCGTGTGAGTGGCTGGCCTACATGTGATGCTACAAAAGCCGTAACTCAGTTAACACAATCTACACATCTTTGTCTGGTTTTATCCTGCTTTCCATATGTACTACACAACTGTTGCTGGTAGGCATCAGCTGTCTCTGATACAGATTTCAGGAAACAGACCCGCAACACCTAATTCAGAAAGTTCAGCAACGTTCCCTAAGTTACCACATCAGACTCTCGCCCTTCTGAGAGCATCTTGAATTATTTGCTGCTTGAGTAGCTCATTTGGGATTGTAGGCCCAGATCCCCTAATGTTATCTGGGATCGTTGGGCATCAGAATCCTGTTTAGCTGTTACTCTTAGAGGTAAGTATCTGAGTACCTTTAGATGTTGGGCCTATTTTTTTTCCCTTTAGGTATTATATCAGAGATGTCTCATCGCAAATAGCAACATATGTTTACTGGAAAGTAAATGGACAAGAATATCCTGCTTCATTGCAGTCATAATTAAAATAGTTATTTCCCTTACATCTATTCCTTCTAAATTTGGATGGCTACTGCAGGAGCAGGTACAGCATCTAACATCCCAGCATCCCAGGAAAATTGTCCCCTTGCCCAGCTCAGACCAAGTTTGGGTGAGGAAAGGGGCCTTGAGTTGTCTCCCAGAGCTCAACAGGTCAATTGAGAGCCTCGTATAAGGCAGGAAGCAATCTGCACAGGAGCCTTCCCGTAACGATGGATGTGTTCCCAGGAGCTCCAGCTGAGGAATTATTATTCATCATGCTCTGTTGAAACTTGTTTTATCATGCAGGAGGCAATTACATGAGTATAGCTGAAAATAGATAGATCATTGCTATCCCGTGGCTATGTGCACTAACTGTGTCTGCTCACTGAAGGAACAAGACAAGGCTAATGTGCAGAATTATGGTTTTTAACTTTCTATCTACGTTCTCTTGCCAGAACTGGTTTCTAGAATACATTTGTGCACTTGCCACGTTACTACGGAGGTTGTCCTCCGTGAAAGTTTTGTGGGCTTGTGCAGCTGGTGATTGTCTCCGCTCCTGCTTTTTGGAGCCCTGGATCTCCGAGGAAGGAAAATAGGCACGTCACGTGAAACCCCCCTAAAGTTTGTACTCGATATTTTAACTTCCCTTTGCAAGGCAGCTGCTGCATTCGCACGTGTGGGAATCTGGTGAGCCATACAATTTTAGGCTGGGGATTTCTATTCACTAGGGATTAGCTGAACTGTTTTCCTAAATCAGTCACCAGATCTGGATTCCAAATTAACAAAGTGGTACTGAGCATTAATGTAGGCTCTAGGTAGCAGCTTTGCAAATTTATTCAATGAAAGCATTATAAAGGCAGGCTGTCTAACTGCCTTAGCTTTAGTGCAGTGAACTCTGAGAACCAGCGGACTTACTGAATTTATAACAGCTAAAAAGCTCAGGTTCATTCAACTCCAAGGATGCTGAATGAGCACTGCTGGTCTTTGTACAATTCCTCTAAACGCAACTACTCCCAACAAAAAAGTTTAGGAGATGCAGAAGGACTGCATCCTGGAAAATAGTCTTAGAAGGGAGCTCGGAGATCGTTGACCCCCTATCCCTTTGTCTTACTGGGCAGGCATTTACCTAGCCTGTTCCTAAAGATGTCCAGGGATGGAGATTTCACATCGCATCCCTGCGCAATCGATGCCAATGGAGCCAATTCTTGCCTAGCCTGTGTTTGTACACAAACACAAGGCAGAACTTTGCAGAACTTTGTCTATCTCCCTACTAATTTGCCACCTATTTTTAAGATTGCTTCTCCAATTTGTCAAAATAATCTGAGTTTCGGTCCTATCTTCCAGAGAGCTGGCAAGTTCTGTTAGCTCAGACTTATCTGCTTCTAACAAATAAATGTATTTTATCTTCCACCATCTAGGTTGTTAATGGAAATATTGAGAAGCTCCGAACTTACTCTGTACACCCTTCTACTTAAGTAATTCATTGTTGATAAATGATTTTAGTGATTGACTTCCCAGCCAGTCTGTACTCATCGTGTACGAGTTTCCTCTAAACTGTGTTCTCTGTCTTGGGTAGAAGAATAATACATGTCAATGTTGATAACAGTCAAGAGATGACACCTTCTGCTTCTCCCATCTGTTATCCTGTTGCAGAAGGAAACTAGATTAGTATGTCACCACCTAGTCTCATCCAAAATAGGCTATCTACACATCATTCAGGACTTTATAAGGCCTGCAACAGCAATTGCTGAACTATGGCCTCGGGTGAAGGCACTGCCTATGAGTGGAGGCATCAGCCTGGCTGAAATCATGCTGGAGAAGCAGGGCTCACGAGGTGAAGAGCATCTGGAAAAGCTTTTGTGGTATCACAGCATGGGCAGTGGTACCTCCAGAAATGTGAAACCTACGGTCATTAACTGGATCATCCGTGGCAGGGCATGCCAAGATGCAACAACGATTAGACTGATGGAAAAGTTGGTGGGCTTTATTTCTCCTGGTGGGCTATAGTTTCTCTTCAGAGGTGTACAGTGTGACTCCTCATCTCACATTGCACTTCCTTATAGTCAGAGGAGAGAAACACATACTTTGAGTATGTAACTTGTAATCTGATTTAGAGAGGAATTGCATCCAGAAATATTCTTTTGTATACAGTGTGATCTGTCAGGTCATCTGCAGACATCTCTGGTTTAGATGTCCAAAGTTATGTTACGCAATTTTTGCTTTTTGTGTCAGGTGCACAAACTCTGCATGTCACACAAGTCACTTCTAGTCTCTGTCAGTTATTCTGAAAAGAGGGGAAAAACCTCCACATTGGGATTACCCTATCAGTTGGAATTTTAGGAAAGTCTGATGTACCCAGACATCTCCTATTATAACCTCATATACAAGGATGAGCTTCTTGTCTGCTGGATATATCACTTCTCTCAGAACTGCCATCATTTCTCTTGTCGCCTAGTTAAGAATTGTGGGTTTACATAGAGCCCTAGCCCTAAAAAAATCTTAAGGAAAAAAAAAGAAAGCTTTATGGCTCACAGTAGGGAGCTCCTATTAGGAAACTACCACTGTTGGAGTTCTTGGCATCAAAAACTCATCTCCGTGAGACAGGGAAGTTAATCTCAATAGATTTCTAATGCAGATACACTAAATAGTATTAAACACTTGTACAGACAATACTTATACAGAATTTAAATCCAATTATATAATAGTTATATCTAGTATAGCATATAGCATATAGTACACACTATATATATAGTATATACTATAGTATATACTATATATGTACTATACACTATACTATATCCCATATAATATAATAGTTTATAACAGTTTACTTCACTTAGTTGATCCGGATTAATTATTTTGGAGTGCCTTATGTAGACAAATCCTGAGCATGTTTCTGACAGAGCTAGAAGACAGAGCTAACCTGGCTGTGCTGTGGACGTGGATGATGTCCCCAATGAAGCTCCAGCTCTTGGTGCTTGCCCTGTGTCTGCTGCCTTCTGTGTTGCTGCTTGAGGGGTTATAGAAGCCAAAAACCAGTGCTGGAATTCTGTTGTAATCTGATAGATCTGATGACCTTGTTAATTTCTAAGGTCACAGATATTAAATCCTGGTGGCATGTGTGACTTCTCTTTTAGGCTTGTTATATAAAAAGCCAATGTGCTAACCAATAATTTTGAAGAGGATTTTCCCAAGGCTCATAGAAGAGGCATTGTATATATACTGTATACAAGTATAGCAGTCTGCATGTCATGAGTGACACCATTTACACTGGATTTTTCCCCAAGGTGCTACAATACAGATACGAATGTCTGATGTGAAATCGAACTGGAAAATTAACTGAATTCTAAAATTTGGTAAAAACTCTTAAGAAATAGATAACAGTGAGATGATAATTTATTGCAGCAAGGCAGGTGAAGCCCACACAAATGCAAAAGAACACTTGGCTTTAAAATGTGAATTGCCATGTTTATACTTCTCCTCCTCCTGAACATTGCTTCACTGGAAGGCTCCGTAAGGTTGCCATAGGACACCACAGAAATAGTAGGGATATGCTTGGGCCTTCTAGAACAAGTTACAAGGTATTTTTTTTCTAACCCCGAGCCGGAGTCATTGAAATTTAATGCCAGAAAATTGCCTTAATTCAGTGCAAATGATTGGCATGGTTTCTGAGAAGGTACACGGTCTTAACAGTTATGTTAGAAGATTAAGAAGCTGCAGTTTTCATGGTGATCTCCCAGCCCATCTGTTTTGAAAAGATCAAAGAATGAAGTCATACTTCTGGGTCTGTGTTAACATCATGCTACAGGGAAGGCATTGCAGAAAAGGAAAGTGATCTTTACATATGGCAGAGATGCTGCTGCTTCATTTGTTCATGTTGGGAAGTTTCCTTTGTTATCTTTGTTTCAGAGAGCTTGAAGACAGCTTAAAAAGATGCAAAACCACCGCATGAAATCACATGCACTGCTCTGTATCACTGCTTGCTATGTAGTATTCATGCAGTTACTGTGCTGGGTGATTGGTATGGCTGCAAATACAAGTCTGAATTTTATACAGTAAATGACAAAATTGCTCAGTTTGCATGTACACATTCAACAATAATGTTGATGTGTGTTTACATACATGTCTTTTTTTTTTTATTTTCAGGCTGTCATCTATTTTTAAAATGTGGCCACTTAAAAGAATGTTTTTGTCTTAAGAGCAGGTAAGTATTACTAGATGGTGTTATTTAGAAGAATGAAATAAGTCAGGGTGTTTTAAGTCTGTATATGCCACTCTTCTAGCCAAAGGCAAGCGATATTTTTGTGTCTGTGTCTCTAAGATGTGCCCATATTCACATATTGAAACCAGTGCTAGAGCAGATCTGAGCTCATCTACTCCTTCCCTCTGAACAAGGCAGAAGGAAATATACCTGTGTTCTCCTTAACAGATATTTGACTCATATGCTGTCTAATACTTACAGTAAGGGAGATCTGAGAACCTCTCGAGGTGGTTTACTCCAGTGCTAAGTCATTTTAGAAAACTCTTGTTTAACATGTAGAATTTAGGTGAACAAGCCTGCACTGTAACCCGAATCTCTTTTGATGCAGATTAAGCCCGTTGCTGTCTCTTCTCTTTCTTGACTTGAAATGGCTCGAGAATAATTTATTTTTTCTTGACTCCCAGCCTTTCTTACAACTTTACTTTTATTCCACATCTTTCCTGATGCGTGGTGCCCAAACTGTATACAATACAACCTGTGCCAAACAGAAGGGAAACATTCCTTAATATGCCTTGTAAGGCGTAATTCCCATTGTGCATCCTAGTAGTATGATTGCTTTTTTCATGGCAACATGACATTGGTGGTTAATCTTCAGACTATTCTGCTATAATCCTACTATTTTTCATAACTGCTGCTTCGCCTATCATCCCTCAACCTCCGTGTGTTGCCTAAGTGTAGATCATTATTCTCATCTCAGTAGAGTTTCCCCCCTTTGTTTTCAGGCCATTTCTCTGTTTTGTTAAGATCATTTAGATCATTACTGAGCTGTCCTGGCATATTCTCCTAAGTGCTAGTGAAAGCTGTGAAGCCTGGGGGAGATTTTCAGTGTTTGCCTTTGGGGTAGCTGTAGGTGTCCACGTGTGAGTTAGGTGTCTAAGTGCCCTCTGCAGTCAAAATGAACAGATCATTCGTTGTACCCTTCATCATTAATTAATGTTAATTCAGTGTAAACGTATCAAGTGAGAGCTGTAGGCCTGCTCTAGCTTGGAAGGCCAATTGAAATAACATAATAAATGTGTCTGAGAAAGACATTACAACAATTTTCTAGCTTGTGCAGTAGGAACTGGAAGTAGGAGCCTCAATTATGCCTTCCTTTCTCATCTCTTTGTTCACATGGAACAGCTCTGCCTCTCACCTGCCTACTCCTTGTTTTTCCTTATGAAAATATTATGGAGGAATCTTGTTACAAAGCAAGATAAAGAGCTTATTTTTCTCTGAGCCTGTTAAAACACAGAGCATATACCTGCTCTGCATAGGATTCAGCCACGGCTGGAAAGCAGCCCCCACTTCTGCAGATCTCTGCCTTTTAGTTCCTTGGCAAAGAAGTAGATCAGCCCTGGTGTATGCTTGGATGGATTAGTCAGGGATAGTTTGTTACTACCGTGCTTCATACTTGCTGTATTTTCTGTTATGCTGAGTGTGTCTCTGTGTTTGTTACCGAATAAATAAAATAGAAGTTAATATGTATGCAATTTCTTTTAATGGTCATATTTATGAATTTCCCAGGCTTTAAGCTGTAGGTTGGTGAAGCATGACATGGTAGCCACAATCGATGTTTTACTCTTGAGAAATAGTCCAGAAGCCTCCCAAACATGCAGCTTGCCATTCATTATATCCAAAGAAGACTTGGAAGTCAAAATCTTAAGTGTTTGTAATGTAATTGTAAGTCTTTTACTGTGATGACAGTATCACCTCATAGGAGGGTCTGTGTCTTAAGGCACCGCTGTTTTGTGCTTCCAAAATGAAGATATCTCAGGTGGGATTCTTCTCATCTAGATACAGATGTCTGCAATATGGATATCTGCACTAAAGTGTGTCACCTTAGGTAATGTATACAGTCAATGGAGAGGAGTGGATAATTCTGTGGAATTATTAATCTGACCTGGTTTTGACTTTTCCTTTATGACAAGAACCACTTGCTACAAGTCCCTACAGTGACTAAGTGAATTTCACCCTAGTGTCCTGTTAATGGGAGGGCTGAAGCTGGGGGCCAAAAGAGGCCACCCACTGCCCACAGCTGTCCCCAAGAGCAGTGTTTCCAGGAGACCAGTACAGCAGCAGCAGTCAGCTGTCACCAAAGCCCACAGAGGAGGGGAGGCCAGCTCTTAGCTAGCCTTTTTGGTCACCCTCACTGACACCAACCGAACAAGGAAAGGCCACAGAGCTCTGAGGCAGACTGAGCCAGTGCGTGGCAGCTGGCACTGCAACAGGCAATGAAGGCTGAGCTGTCAGGAGCAAAATCCCAACTAATTTTTGTTTTTACATCTTCAGTATCTTTCCAGTCACTGGTAAAAGTGTCTTCTTCAAGGAAAATAATGTCTCAATATTTTTGTCTGATTCTATATTGGCATTTCTTTTTTTCTGCCTCTGGTGACACTGGTGTTCTCAGATGATATTTCTGGACTAGATTCTCTCTAAAAGTGCAAAGAAATGCATATATTTCTAGGGAGAAAGTCCTCACCTTGACTTTCTGCTTGGCTACAGGAAGTGTTTTTCATCATAGGTTGCAGTGAGGAGCTACAGTCCAGACAATCCTTCTGGTGTCTTTGTTGTCAGGAGAAAAATGATCTATCAAAGCCCATTTAGTGGGAACTTCACTCAGACACTTACGAGTGCTGATTCTTCATTATTTTCTCATTATGTGGTTCTTAGGTTTCTAAAGGTCTTGACATACATTCTCTACCAATAAGAAAAAATCCCTCCTCATGAGATTTAAGCATGTTACTTTTATCTTTAATGGAGCCATGTTTGAGCTGCTGTCATCACGTTCACTAAATCATCTGTCAATGAAATCCACATTTTTAGTAGCCATTACCTCAGCTCGCGGATAAATAAAGTCCTAGCTTTTATGTCTAATCCTCCATATTATTTTCAGGTGGATAGGGTGACTCTGAGGCAACATCTTAAATGTATTGTAGAGGTGGTTTCAGATTTCTTATTAATCAGTATATCCACTTACCAATATTTTTTTCCCAAGACCCAGTTCACCGGTAGGAAGATCAAAATGTTGATCGTCCTTGAATGTTAGGAGGCCATTAATGTATTACTTGAGCTAGACAAAGCTCCTCTGCAAATCTGTGATGCTCTTTGGTCTCAAGCAGCCTTTGTTGTACAGGAATGAGTCGGAAAAGACCTAGCAGCGGCTTCAAATGCATTCAGAATGAGTTAGCAGACTGCATCAGAGCCACCTTTGATGTTACGAGATTAGATCCACCAGCCCTTATCAAGGCATATGCAACTAAAGCACAAGGTGCTGCCACAGCATGTGCTGGCTGAATTCCAGGAGCTGAGGGCTGTGGGGACACCACACGACCACTGATACTCACACTTCAGAAGCAGTACTGCTGGTGGTAGCACAAAGGCTTCACGCTGCAGAAGGACTCTGGTTCTTCAGTCTTTGTTGCAATGAATAGCAAGCATTTACTGCTGTGACTGCACTCCTAATGAAACGCCTGGAAAGGGTTTTGGAACAGGCTGCCCAGGGAGGTTGTGGGGTCTCCTTCTCTGGAGATATTCAAGATCTGTCTGGACGCCTACCTGGGCAGCCTGCTCTAGGGAACCTGCTTTGGCGGGGGGGTGGACCCAATGATCTCTTGAGGTCCCTTCCAACCCCTAAAATTCTGTGATTCTGTTTCACAGGTAGCAGAACTTGAAGAAAGAAGAGTAGTTACCTTCATTGCTGCAATTCTTCGACGTGCTCTTTGTACACCTCCCACTGCTGGCCCCTCGGTTCCCCAGGTGATGTGGACTGCGGGCTGCTGAAGAGCTGGGCGGTGATCTGTTTGCACGCTGGAGGGAGGAAAAGCAGAGGTGAGCAGGTTATGCACACACCTTGTGGTGGACACATAGCAACATTAGAAACACTTGAATTGTTGCGTAAAAGAGACCTATCAATTTACAGCGGGTTGTACCTGCATAGAGCACCCTGAAGTGTTACAGCTATGAGTTTAGTAAACCTCGTCATTGTTCTTCCTGCAACACCTCACTTGAAAGACGTTGCTATACCTTTGCCAGGTATTCCTCATTATTATGATTATCAGCAAAGAACATATGGTTGCTGGTACTGTTAGTGGGAGTTGTGAGTTTTTGCATAGGAATTAGACCTCATTAGAAATCAGAAGCAGGATTTGTTTTGTGCACTGCTAAATTTTCTTTATTAAACCCATCGGTCTGTTGCACGATTACATGCCAACCCACAGAAGTCCTTCAGAGTTGTTATTTTAAAGTTATGTCAATGAACAGTTTATTCTGAAGCCTCTCAAATGTATATGCATGTGTATTATATACATCTATACTATGTACATATGTATGTAGATGTAGTGACAAAGCAAGTAGTTTAATACGTTTTATGGGTCCAGCCTGGAGTTCTGCATACATGAACTTGTGTGTGGTCAAGGAGGCTTGCATATTTTTGAACTCTAAGTTGGCCTAATAAAAGATATCAGACTACAGTGCTTGCTTTGTCAGCCCTGTTTTCCTGGTTCAAAATGACTTGCAAGATTAATTTTCAATTTCTAACATAAAAAAATGAGAAAAAGAAGTGTTTACTTACCGCAAGGAGTTGATTCCGTGTTAATGACCCCGAAGGAGGCTTGTACACAAGGTAAGGATTGTTGCCAATTTGATGTATATTCATGTTACAGAATATGAAAATGTGAAGTTACACCATCTTGAGGATTTTGTTTTTATAAGTAGGATTGGTTAAAAAAAAAAACTTTAAGTAATCATACCATGCGTTTGATGGTGGAAATTAGTATGAATGTTTCTGGCAGAGGAACGATGTGATGTGGTTATGCATTTCTGTTTTCACTGCCTGCTCAATATTGGCCTTTTACAAATACAGATTACCATGTCGATGGAAGGAATTTACAGCTTTGGCCCCCTTGTCTCACTCGGCGTTACAGCACCTTTTTTGTACTTTATGTTATACATCCCCCCAACTGTATTTTTCTGACAGAAAAAGGAAATGTCTGCGGACTGAGACCCTGACAACTCGTGAGCTTTACTGTTTAATTGGATGAAATGAGTATTATTTCCCACTTACCTTGATTTCCTGCGGGGTAAAAATCTCGCTCGTTTGAAATCAGCAGCAAACTTTCTGCTGAGTGCAACAGGACGGAGAGTTCACCGGCAATTCCTAACCAGCCAGAAACGTCCCATATTGGAAGCCCAGAAAGAAATAGCTTAATAATAACTACAGTACAGCGAATACTCCTAAAAAAGTATTTTAGAGCTGTCAAATAAAACCCACAATTAAAACCGGAGCTTAATACAAAAGCTATGCATATGATATGCTTAATATTATTCGTTTTGGGGCCTCGTGGCCCAAATAGTTCAAGCTGCAAGATCCGTTTGTGTTCTGTGGGCTGTTACACTGCATCCCTTACTTACCTCATCTTGTGGGCAAGGAGCTGCTTGCTCTGACTTCATGGAATCGCAGCTGTATTTGTGGAGTGCTCTCGTCCTTTGGCACTCCTTCCCCTGTACATTAACAGGCTTTGAATGCACCAGCATTTTCCCTGGAAGCAAACTTCAAAATTTGTCTTTAATCCTGATGCAATGCATATTCAGAATTTTTTCTTTTCCTGAAGTTTAGTTCCAAGGGAAAGCGGACTTGCCTGGTGCTCCCACCAGCCAGCTGCGCTTCATAGCAATAATTAACAGTAAGATCCTGCAGCAGAAAGAGGGAGCAGGGAAATGCAGCCCAGCAGCTTCAGTTATGTGGTTCTGTTCGTGTCGACGGATTCCAAAGTGCTTAACAAACAATATTGCAGGCAGGACGGGCAGCTCTGCCCACAAGGAAGTTTTCCTAATGCTTCCTGCTATAAGATTCTGCTCTCAGTTGTTCAGAGCTTTGCTGAACTCATATTTGGGTCAAATATATTTACTTCGGATGTCATTCTGTAGGATTTTTTTTTTTAATTTTTTGAGTATCAGCCAAAGCAATTGAACTGTTTATAAGAAGGTGTCCGGGAAAAAAATTCATTTTTTTTTCCTGCTTATATAAAAAAAAAGTGTCTGGCCCCTGTGTTTTAAAAGGTTTTAGAGCAAAGATAGACCTTTCTCAGCTTTTGAATCAGGCATGTGCCTTTTGCCATCCTCACAAAGCTTTTCAAATTTGGTCAACTGTTTCAAGACGTGGAAAAAACACAGTTACCAAATATTCCATAGAGATTTACTAAAGCCTAACAGCAAATATTTCCAGAGATTTCATCTTCTCCGCCTCGCATAGCTCCTTCCCGTGTTCAGACTTTCCATACACTGTCCTCACAGAACGACTGGGCAGTCGCTAGCTGGGTGCACCGGAGGCCAGACCAGAGGTGACCCCTGTGGCATTGTCCCTGGTCATTACGTGGAGCTATAGTGAGGCTTCACTTAGCTCCTTGGACCTGGAAGGAAACTCAGGGCTCCCAGATTTTATCGTTTGTGTGCTCTTGGCATAGTTTCTCTTTGCTGATAGCCTGAATGCATGTAGAGAGTAGACAACCTTAATAAGGCCCTGAGAGACCAAACCTAATGTTGAAATTAGCCCTGCCGTGTGTGGTGGGTCAGACCACGTGGCCTCCTGAGGTCCTTCCAACCTCCTTTAGTCCATGGTTCTGTGATTCTTTGCCATCAGTTTCTGTGTCAGTCAGCGTGGACCTGAGAGCACCATCCAGCTGGCCCTCAACAAGACCCAGCTGGTGGATCTCTGTGGGTACGATGCCACATAGTGGAAATAGTCTTTATTAGTTTGTTTTTAACACCAAGTATACGCAAGACACCACATGAAGATAATATTAAAGTTACAAGGACAAGTATCCTAAAATTAAGCAGAAGAGAATGATCTCTGCAGCCTCAGTATGCTCCCAACATGTCTTTGCATTGTAACACTGACTTTAGTTTTGTGATTGCACTGTGTCTTTTCTCGTGTGGCTTTGGCCATGTATCCAGCATGGATCCACTCTGGAGATGAACCAGCACTGAGCAGAGCTGGTGGATGGCAACTGCAGAACTCTAGCTCACTTGTTGAGAAGCTGCAACGCTTTTCCTATCATGGCATGGTAGAAAAAGAAAGCAAGGTCTCCTGATTAAGGTGGTTGAATTCTGCCCTGGGGAGCTGGACAGTATCCTTGCCTCTTCTACCATGCTCCTGCGCACTAATGGGCAAACATTTCCCATGTGGTTATTAATTGCCAAAAGAGCCTTTCTCCTTGTGCCAGTAGTGTCTGGAACGAGATGATTGTGCAAATGTCATCCATCAATCACTGCTCTTTGTTTGATAATGTCATTTGTGATGTTCCATTTCAGAGAGCCTTCATCAAGTCAGTTCAGGTAATTACTAGCTCCTTATATCTATTTATCATCTAATGTTCACCTTCTATTTATATTTACACATTATCCTTATAAATATTTATAAACGCTTATTTGGCAATGAACTAGACAAAATATCTTGAAAATCTCTGAAATTCGTGGAAATATTCAGGCAGCATATGAGATTGTTTTTCAAACCTCAGCAGGCTTAATTAGATCCTGCAGTTCATTCATTTTCACTGAAGTCAATTGGACTTTTACATGTGGAAAGTCTGCGAGATCAAAAATTATGCCCAATGGGCACATAGTTCTATAGAAGAAAACGTCAGCTCCGGATGGTAGTGTTTCTGACTTCTCATCGGTTAGACTCTCTTTCTCAATTAGCTTTTCTTGTAATTCTATGTGAGTGGTTTTGAAAGGGTTCCTGGAAAAAAAATTGCTGCGTATACTGTACATGTTTTCATTTACAGATCACTGAAATGGATAGACAGATAAATAAATAGATAGGGTTTTCTGAGCTCGTGAAACATGTCACATAGCATAAAACCCTCTTCTCAGTCTGTTTTGTCAAATATGTCAAATGATATTTTTGGAATTATATTTTTGGAATGTATTTTCAGCATTTCTTATTGCTGTTCTTGATCTATGCCCCCTTGTTTGACAGTCCCTTAATCTGTTCGATATAAACTGAATGAATAGCAGCATTTAAAAATATGGCTTCAGGGACTCCTTAGGAGGTTTCTTTGTAAGTGTACATTTACTAGTTCATCTGTAAATTTATTTTATGAGGTGTTTAAACCTCAAGAAAACTGAAAAGCATAATATTAATGCCTGGTTTACATCTACTGAAGTCAATGGGAACTTTGCAATTGACTTTAATGGTAGCCTATGTCCTCTAATTATGAAAGTGGCAAGGATGATATACAAAAAACCACAAGGAGAGTTTTCTGTTTCATCATACCCTATTTTGTTTGCAGATGCATAAGCAAAGTACGATGTGGTTTGTTCTTGGATTAAACAATTCAGAGTTTTGGACCTAATCCTGAACCACGTTGCTACTTTAGGTAGTGTTTTGCTTCTCAGAAGATCGCGGACTACTCATTCTCTGTATGGCTCACAGAGGTGACAGGGTAGGAAATCCAGCCAACTTTTCAAAAGGCTTTTACAAATGATGCTTTTGGTTTTGATCATGCATCTACCCCATGGTATGAGCAATGGAAGAAGTTGATGAAGCAGTTTTCTTTCTAATTGTCTTGTGTTTTTTTTTTCATGTGATCAGTTTTGACAGGGTTCCTGGAAATGCACATAATATCTGTAGTGTGTATGTACATGTTTTCCCTTAAGGTTCACTGAAGTGTAGTAAAAAGTTTCCATCACGCTATTGTAATCCCAAGGCATCATTTTCGTACCGTGTTAGTGAAAGTGAGCGAGAGTACACCGCAAGAAAAAAAGACGTGCAGACAAAAAGACTTGCAGAATTAAAGCCTTTCTTTTTTTCTGTTGGTGTAACAAGCACAGCGGTCTGAACAGGCTTGATCTGGTAAGCAATTTGTAGCAGTAAATAATGCTAGACAAAAATTCCCACAAACTTCTTGTTGAGTCTGCTTCAGAGGTATTACTCATTTGGTGGCTGAAATGCTGGTCTTGCTTCACATTTTTAATGCTTGTGAAAGATTTACATATTTTGGTGGTAACTGGAGATGCCAGCGCGCTGCAGAGAAGAGCTCGTCCAAACTTTTCCGATGGGGCTGTGCTCAGCTGGAAGGCACCACTTTGGTGGGGCAGAGATGCTGTCCTGAGGCTGCAGCAGCTCCACTGAAACCATGAGGGAGCCGAGCATGGCATCTGGGTCTACACTGGGCAAGTCTCCGGGATGCTCTGACCAGAGGTGTAGTAGTAGATAGCAGAGTGGACAAACTCTTCTCTTAAGGTGGATAAAATCTACACCACCAGGTTTAGAAAGGAATAAATGCTGTTTCTCACCCTGCCTCAGCATAGCCATCTCCCTCTTTTGTCTATGCAGTAGGCTAGCAGCTCTACAGCCTCCTCCTCCTAGCCTGGTGGAGCCTCAGACCTTCCAGGTTCTCCTCCCCAAGGCTCCCAATTCCTGAGGCTTGCTGCTCCTTCAGGGTACCCATCTTGGAGGCTTCCCCATTCCCAGGCAGCTGCTTTTTTGAGGTACCCTATGGCAGCCAGGTGTCCAGCTGCTCTGGGGCTTGTGCTGTCAAGTGATGCATGTGCTTTGGGGATGAGCTGGAAATTTCATATACTGGCTTTCTGATAAAAACAAAGTTTGTCACAAATTGTCCCTCAGAAACAAACAAACAAAACCAAAAATGAAAGATTTGTTGCTGGCCTAACACTGAACTTGTCTATGTCAAAATGCCTTGGGGAAAAGATAGTTAAAAGAGAACATATAGGAATCATTCCAGATGGATGCTGTAGCCTTCACTACATCCTTATCATCTACGCACAAACAGAGATCTGTTTAGTATAATTTGAGAAATAAATACAACTAAAAATCGTATCTTTTGGGGAGACTTAAACTTCCTAGATGTATCCTGCAGGAAGATGTGCAGAAGTCGGGCCCTATTTCTCAAGGTAGGGCCCATGTGCCTATAAGCACGGTAGGTGAAATACATCTTCACCAAATGACTTCTCAATAGATACTATTTAGACTTAGTTTTGATGAGTACCATGGCTATTACAGAAAACTAAACATAAAAGCAACTTTTGAACAAATAGAAGAATAAAGAGAAGCAGGACTGTAGTTAGGGTTCCTAATTTTGAAGAGGAAAATTTTGATAAACTACATGAATTTGCAGATGATGCTAAATTAGGAGGAACAGTTGATTCTGTCAAGGGAAAAGAGGCCTTGCAGGGACACCTTGACAAATCAGAGGGCTGGGCAATATGAAGTTTAAGAAGAACAAGTGCTGGATTCTGTGCCTGGGATGGGGCAACCCTGGCTGTGTGTACAGACTGGGGGATGAGAGGCTGGAGAGCAGCCCCACGGAAAGGGCTCTGGGTGTTATGGTCCCGGCAAGTTGAACAGGAGCCAGCAGCGTGCCCTGGCAGCCAGCAGGGCCAAATGTACCCTGGGGTGCACCAGGCCCAGCACTGCCAGCCGGGCGAGGGAAGGGATTGTCCTCCAGCACTGTGTGCAGCTCTGGTGCCACGGTGTAAGGAGGGCACAAAGCTGTCAGTGCCCAAAGGAGCGGCTGAGGTCCCTGGGTTTGCTCAGCCCCGAGCAGAGCAGGCTGAGGGGAGGCCTCATGGCGGCCTGCAGCTCCCTCACGAGGGGAGCGGAGGGGCAGGCGCTGAGCTCTGCTCTCTGGGGACAGCGACAGGACCCGAGGGGACGGCATGGAGCTGGGACAGGGGAGGGTCAGGCTGGGGGTTAGGGAACGGGTCTGCACCCAGAGGGTGCTCGGGCACTGGGACAGGAGTTCCAGAAGTTTTTGTACAATGCTCTCAGACACATGGTCTGATTTTTGGGTGGTCCTGTGTGGAGCCAGGAGCTGGACTCAATGATCCTTGTGGGTCGCTTCCAACTCAGGATATTCTATGGTTCTATGATTCTACGTTAATTAGTTGTTGAAGTCATCCGGATTGAGGAGCCAAGGAGTTGAAGTGTGGAGGAGGTGTTGATTTTTTTTTGTCTCAGGTGTAAAAACTATCTAGAACTTGTATCCCAAATAAAGCAGCAAAATAGTAAGGAATGGCACCCTGTTTAATTTGATGGGCAATCATCACTGAAAGGATGTCTGTAGATAGTGCAAGGACAGAACGAAAAGAAGGGTCAGCAAAGAAAGTTGTGAGTCAGAAGGCAGAATATATAGGAATAAAGTAAGAGTCAAATGAAGGAGCCTGAAAGAAATAGAAAGAAGTTCTCTGTCTAAAAGAAAAAATGAGGGAAAGAGCAAGGCTCCTCTGTAGTGGAGGCAGAGGCAAGATGAAATATAATCTGTGCTGGGTCTCTGAGCTAAAATTATAAGGAACTAGCAACAGGACAAAGTCAGAAGAGTAAAGTCCAGGGAGTGGGATAGCTGTTACTCTGGAATTCAGACAGAATAGGTGTATGAAAACATATGTTTGAATATCTCGTAAGGAGAAAAGGGACCATGTGAGAAGAACACTGCTTCTCTGTATAAGAAACGAAGAAAGTCACCAGGACAAGAGCAGGTCTGTTAACCTGGAACAAAGCTCAAGGGTACAAAGCTTTGAAACAGGTCTTGAAGGAAAAAAAAGTACATACAGTAAACAGAAAAAAAAAGAAGACTGTATTAAAGTAATTAATTTTGAAAACAAAACAAACAAAACAGCATGAACATGGTATGCAAGTGGAGAATTTGCTGTGGTACAGCAAAATATCTGATTCTTTTTTTCTCTGAGAAGAAGGAAGAGAAGTAGGGAAGTAGAAAGGGGGGAAGTGGGGAGGAAAGACGTGTGAGGTTACAATTCTCTAATAAAGTTTACCTGCAGCTAGTTTGGGTGAAGTACTTATATATATATATATTATTTTTATTTTTTTTTCTTCACAGACTGCCATTACGTCCTGTGCTGTCTGCAGTGTTTAGTGGTCCTGTGCAGACTCAGAAAGCACACATAGTGTGGATTATTTTGTGTTTTGCTATTAACGGAATTTGAAGTATATGATGTTTCTGCTGAAAGTGTACATTTTTAGATAGAGAATCAATAGCTGTCATTGTGGTGTTCAGGGTAGGATTGTAAAATGACAACTCAGATGAACAAAAATGGAGTAGTAGGGGAAAAATTGCAGTAAAAAATGAGAAATTAAAAAATACGCAATGGTCTGGAGCCTTCTTACTTCTTCCATGCAGGGGAATTTTTGTGGTTCTGGATCTGCACTGTGTTTGGGGTCAAACTCCAGCCTAGCACTACCCATTCCTAAGGAGTATCAGAAGGAAAGAGTGCTACAGAGCAGGGAGGTTGCCCCAGTTTCAAACCCGTGCCTTTCAGACCTCTTCGGGTCAGTATTATGTAAGTGACATTCAGAAAACTTAATTTACCTAACATTCACCCTCCTGGGACAAGTATTGGTCACTGAGAAATGATGAGAGTGCTTGAAAACCTCATAGCTGCATTTTTGAGATCCATGCACAGTTTCTGCCCAGCGAGGTGGGCCAGGTCAGTGGCAATCATGCATATCTCACAACTTGGTGAGCAAGGCATTGATGGTAGAAGTTAAGAATGTCCTAGGTGGAAGAAAAAGAATGGGATGTGAAAGTAATCCCAACGCTAAGGTTATTCCAAACAATGTGACTTCAATAAGCAGAGCTGAGAGAGCGGAAAAAATTGGCCAAATTCAGAGCTCTTGTCCTTGTGCAGAGGCTTATTTGAATTCCAGGCTGTTTCTATAACATGCATACATTTCATTCACTATGTGTGGCATTAAAAAACTGGAAAGCCTCGTGTTTTGGGGTCAGCAGTAACCTGAGCTTAAAAGTAAAGCTGACCTCTCATCTAACAAGAAAAGCGGTGCCATCACTTTGGGACAGGGAGTGTCTTTTTGCTGGATTGTGGCTCAAAACTGAGACAGTCACAGTCAATTGTCGATGATGCGCTCCAGGAGTGTCTCCTTGAGCTAAGTAGAAGCAGCCAGCAAACCTGCTACAGTAAAGCTCCTTGGGCTCCAGCAGTAATAAGCAGGAACATATTTGCACAAGCATCTTTTCTGCAATTTCCTCGCTGCTTTCCAGCTCGCTCAGACCTTGCGGGGGTGGCCAGGCTATCGCAGGTTCAGGGACTGTATCAGTCTTTCTGCTTCCAGCCTGCTCCTGTGCTCAGCAAAGTGCCTAACCTGGGCTAGAGTCTCACTCTGAAGGGAGGGGATGTAATGGGGCTCGTCATGATGCCATTGCTCTGCTAAGGAGGCACAGAACAACAAATTGAAGTTATGATAGTCACTTTTGATAGTCACAATTATATGCATGACAAGCAAGGACTCTGTCGACAGAAGTATGTGCAACCATATGTTGGACATAATGAATTTGCAGGGAATATATCTAAAGAAACTCTCCAGTTCTAAACTATCCGTTGAAGCAAACAGCCTTGTGTCTTATGTTAATCAGTGAATTTACAGCAACGCACCCCCTTTTTCATGTGTTTGCATTTACCAATGTTATCTTCTTCTCACAGATGGGAGAACTGGAGGAACCAGGATGTGAAGTTGTCTGCTCAGAGCTATATCAGAGGCCAGCGACAAATCCAGGAATAGAAGCCAAGCCTCCTAAGTTGCAGCCTAATACACTAATCAGTGAGGAATCTTGCCTTCTTATACTGCAATGAGGTATACCTTAACATTATCTATATATTAATAATTTATCCAAGAGGAACACACTTGAATGTGTATGCTGCCTATACTCTTGTAAATAAATCAGAAGAATTATTTGAATTCTAATTCTGAATTGAATTTCTAACACTTTCCTTTTTACTAGACTTTTTTTCACAAAAAAACCTGTACAAAACATACAGTTCTCAAAATCTGTGTTAGTGTAATGGCCAAAAGCTACTGTCCTAAAATATCCCCTTGTAGCTTTAATAATTCAGATTTCTAGATTTTTCAGAGTCCAACTTTAGCATTTTCTTCAGCGTCTTGAGCATCTATGCTTTATCTTGCCATTACAGAAGACTTTGGGTAGTTAGCATCTCAGAAAAAGGAAATACAGTTGTGTATTCCCAGCGAGGATGTTCATAGCATTGGAAATCACTTTGGGAAATATTGCAGTAAATATGCTGGAAGCATCAAAAGCTCAAGTCTGGATCCAGTTTAGCTGGAGGCTTCTCCTGTAGGCTGAGACAATAGAAGTGCTGAGGGTATGGAAGCCCATTACAGATCCTAATGCTGCCTGGTGTATTTGGGGTATTTGTCACAGTTTTGGCAAAGGCACAGCTTGCTTTCTGTCCCTCCTAGCTATGTCCTCCCATACCGGGTGAGGGACATGCACACAATGCTTCTCTTTGAGATGCTAATCTTTTGGGGTGTTAAGCACCAATAATAGAGCCAGCAGCTGTTTTTGCTTGCTCTGGAGGGTTTGAAGCAGCACAGCAGCTTTTTGCATAGGATAGGAAAGGTTTTCTTCTGGCTTTCATATCAATTTGACATATCCATGCTGTGGGCTTCCCAAAATAGTTGTAGACTCTAGCACTGAAACGCCATTCTCAGAGTCTGTCAGAGGTAGCTGGTAACTTGGTAATTTAATAAGAGCAAATATTAAATCAGAATGGAAAATTATATTGCTCCTACAACATGCTTCTTATAGTATCTTTGCATTTCCAAATCTTTATTATCAACAGTTTGGCTGTCACAGGTGACGAGCTTGCTCAAAGACTATGGTCAGGTTAGCTGCTATTGAACCTACAAAGTATCTGTAATTCATCCATGCTTCTCCCACCAGCAGGTGTCATTCTGGAAAAAGGAAAATATTGTAAATCCCAGAACTGGAGAATTTGGCTGTGACAAAGAAGAAAAAAACACTGTTCACTTAAGATGTAGCTTTTGAAGGATACTTTAAATAAAAACCAAGACAAGGTTGGCTGGTCTGCATGAAGCACAGCCTATCAGAATATTTTCTCAGAGTCTTTGCACTGCGTAACCCTGCCATGTAACAAACAAAGGTCAGACGATGAGTAAGGCAAACCAGTGCCCAGTTAAAGCTGTCTTCTGCTGTTTGCTCTTCTCTCTGGCATCGTCACCACTGGGTACTCACCCCCCATGACTATAAAAACAGTGATAATCATCAATTTTTATGATGGGCTTTGGGCTTTAGATCCCCCCAAAAACATGCACAATTAAGGCAATAAATTCAGATTTCATTTACTTCAAGGAAAGCTTGAAGTAAACTCATTGAAGCAACTGAAATCAGCAGACTTACTTGGGATTTAGTCTGAAGTAACCGCAAGTAGTATTTCACTTTCTACTTTGTAAATAAATCTTGAGCAGAAAAGATTCACGTAATCATTTTAATGTCTATTGTAATACTTATGTCATCCCTTAAGTGTTCATCTGGCTATTAGCTGCAGCCTCCTTTAATATGAAGAGATTATTTTTGATTTCTAATAATCATGCTGAGAAAGCTGTGCCTGAGTTATGAAGAACCAAGATCCTTCTGGTTTGTTGGGGACTCGTGACCTCCTGAGTCTGATCTTCTGTCTGTTAAAACCAAACCTGCCATGAAATCCATGCAGTAGGTTTCTTGCCCACCCTATATCCCAATGGAGGTTTGTTCCAACCCATCACAGCTCTGATGATTATAAATAGTTTTCTGTCTTTCAGCCTAAATTTCATAGAATCACAGAATGGCTCAGGTTGGAAGGGACCTTAAAGACCATCCAGTTCCAACCCCCTGCCATGGGCAGGGACACCTCCCACCAGCCCAGGTTGTCCAAAGCCCCATCCAGCCTGGCCTTGAGCACCTCCAGGGATGGGGCATCCACAGCTTCTCTGAGCAACCTGTGCCAGGGCCTCACCATCCTCTGAGTGAAGAATTTCTTCCTAATATCTAATCTAAACCTATCCTCTTTAGGTTTATAGCTGTTACCCCTTGTCCTATCCCTACATTCCCTCCCCAGCTTTCCTGTAGGTCTCTTTAGGTTCTGGGAGCAATTTATTCAGGAGGAAGAGAATAAGCTCTAAGGCTTGGCTGTGAGGAACACATTAAGATGGGAATTATTTTTATGTTTTCAGAATTTGTAATTACAATGAAGTGATATGAAATAATTGTGGTATAGGCAGCCATTTCTTTTTCACTAAGTTATTTAAATACAAATGTCACAATGCTTTTCTTGTGAACAGTATCAAACACGGTTGCTGAATGAGAAAAAAATAGTATATAAACTTAAAAGCTTCACTCTAGAATAGTTAAAAGTAGTAGACTTGGGTTTACACAGAGCCTGTATTTGAGTTTTCTGACTTATTGGGTATATAACTTAAATGTAGCAGTCTTCTGGAATTTGAAGTAAAAAACTATAATTTTTTTGTGAATTTGACTAGTTCATTATGCACTTTATTTTTATCCTAGGTGCTGAGCAGTGATTATATACAGCTTTTTTACATAGTAAAGTGCAGGGTTTAGTCTTTGTATCAAAGCAAAGTTATATCTTTGGAATCCTTACAATGTATTTTTACTGTTTTTAGGTAAGTGATCTTATCAAATTTTGTATAGTTTTTTAATTTATACTTTATTTTATTAACTTGGGAAGAAATGCATGTGCCCTCCTGTGTCATTTTGGAGCCCTTGGGGAATCTGAGCTGGCCTCTTGCTGATGGTTCAAAAGTGAGGGTCTCCTGTAGGCCCTACATCATCTCTGCCATCCCAGTGCAGATGCCCTGGATACTCCAGGTTGTTCCAGAGAGCATTGGGTATGTTCTTGTAGGCATCTGAATTTCTCCTTTAGATACTGATGTAGAAAACCACCATAAAAAAATAATATGTCCCTACAAAGCCTTAACAAAATTAAAGATGGCACATCTGTGAAAGTAATTCCATCCAAGGTGTTTGATTCAAGTTTAACAAGGCATAGAGGCAGGAAAGTAATTCCGTATCTAGCAAGTAGAAGGTTATTGTGTTTAACAGGATGCCATCAAGAGTCTGCTTTGAATTATGGTGATTGAGCTGAACCTGTGCATGAGCAGGGGAGCCACTGATACTTTGTGTGTGCACCACAGTGGGCAAGAAGACAGGCTGCAAGAATTGTGTGCTTGGGGCAATGAATGCTTAATCTTTCCCTTCCAGATAATGCCTCCAGGCCCTAGCCAAGAAAATGGGGTTTTCCATCAGGAACGTTGTGGTCTGATGTTCAAAACCGTCGTGTGTCTGGTAAACGTGAGCATAATTCTCCAGTTTTGTGCATGATGCAGCAAGCTAATTTCACTGAAGAAAGTGGTAACTTCAGGTACCGGGGCACTCAGCTACAGGGAATTAGAGAAATACATGCAGTAATTACAAACCTATGTTAATCAGGTCCATTTTTGATGGTCTACTGAATAGGAGGGAAGTTAAAAACCTTGAATATATTAGTTAGTGTAGTTACATAGGAATTGTACAATGCTGGGTTGAGTGTTACTGAAGTGTTCTTTTAGAACAAGAACAATTTGGTTTTTGTATAACCTATAAAAAGTATATATTGCATGAGTATAAAATATATAACTGATCTTATAATAAAACTAAAGCTATTGGAAGGTAGCAAATTCTGGATAGAATTCACCACAGACACTAATTACTGTTGTATAGACAAAGATTTTCCAATGAGCTGTTTTTTATGAGACATTACCATGACAGTCAACAGGATTTTGGACTATTTTTTCAGAAGTTTAAAACACTGAATTATTATAGAAGAAGGCATGGTGCAGGGTGACTTAGAAAGCAATCAGAAAATCTGATTTAATAATGTACAACGTTAATTTTGTTGTTTGTGAATGAAGCACAAGAATTTTTCTTGTTTAGTATGTTCATTTATTTATTTTTAAATCTGTATCAACCTTTTTCAGGATGAACCCCCAAGGCATGGCTGCAGTGGCTGCGTGAAACAAGAAACAGATACCCTTTTTGTGTCACTCCTTTCACTGATCACCAGGACTCTGAGCCAGGGTGAAGGTGGAGGAAGACTCCTACAGAGAGAGAACCAGGAACGGTTTGTCCCTGTAGAAGGGAGTAATGACATTTTTAAAGTTTTTACCAAATACCAGGACATGTGATAAAATTTTATGGTTGGGAATTAATCAAAAGACCATGAAATGGGACAGAATGCACATTACAGAAAGCCTTGGAGAGCTGCAACCTAAGCACCCTGAAATCTGTGACCAAGCCCACAGGACACCTCTTGAGTTATTGCAGCCACCTCCAATGACTGCTATTTTTTTATATAATTTACCAGCCCCAGTAAACTTCCCCAGACAGACTGGGAAAAGATGTTCTTTCTGTTAATTTTAGGCCAGAGAAAGACTCCAAATGTATTCTGGGTAGTGAAATATTTGGCTCATGGAATTAGCTGCAGAAAAAAAAAACACCAAACAGTGTAAATTTGCACCTTGGAGTGGGTACATGTTTTGAAAAGGATGGTTCCAAAGATAATGTGCTTGTATCTAAACTCTGTTATCTGCAACATACAGATTTACAGTTTTATCTGTATTAAATAGCACATCTGTATGCTGAAACATGACATGTATGATTAAAATAATGACTGTAACTATAGACCTATGTAAATATTATCTAGATCATATGTGTAAATATTAAAGAAATTGTTTAATTTCTAGAGATTACAGACAACACTTAAAAATGTTACACAGTCTCCCCCTCACAAGTTTTTTGTATAATTACCAGTTAAGAGCTAATTAATCTACTCGCTTTTTAAAATATTTGCAGTTGTGTTAAATTTTACTGAGGAGCAATTTAGTTGTCTTGTTGTTTGAACAGGAAGTCCTCGGGTATTTGTCCCAAATACCAATATTTTCACTCTGCTGACAGCTGTATGTTTGTGGTCACCCTTCGGCAATGTATGTGAAGAATGTATACAGTGGCAGTGCCTCCTCGAGAGAGTACCAGGAGGAAAATTGTATGTGGTCAACCCACATGTAATTTGTTCTCCTTAGTGGAGGTCTCACATGTACAGCACTTAAATGACACTTTTTGTTTCTGGATAAGATGAAGGTAACTGATAGAAACCATTCAAAAGTCTCTTGGGCTGTTGCTTACGTTCCCTGAAATGGGCTAAAGAGAACAGCTCTTTGGAGACACAGCTTTACATTGAACATATGCAGGGCTGTGTCATTATTAATTCTGCAAATGTGTTTACAATGGTTAGGTAAAATATTTAGTTACTATTTAAATATTTTGATGTATTATAGCTCGTACCCGAATTTCAGATGTCTACTGCACTTAACATTTCCAATTTAAATAACCGGTTTCATTAAGGTTTTTAGTGATACAAATTAATAACAAAAGGCAGTTAATGCAGAGTACGGTTATGAGACCAACATACATGTGGTTTAAATTTAAAGAATTAAATGTTAGCATTTCCCTATAGAGAAAGGTTATTTGGGCAGTGGTGTACTGACATTATCACCACCCACGGAGAAGGGGACCTGTTGATCCTATTGGTTAAGCAGAAATTCAAAAACGGAAGAAATGTCGGTCTAGAGGGTTTGCTCGGTGTGAGTGAATCACACAGGAAAAATGCTGATACCTAGAGTAGCTGCAGTGACCTTCTTTGATGGTTAGAAAGAGAAATAATCACACAGGATTTTTTGTCAAAGTTGGAGGGTTTAGGTTGCTTGCTGGCTAAAACCGGCCTGGGTTATTAATATAGTGGAAAGTTAAATGATGAGCATGGAAATATGATAATAAGTGCTGTTGTAAATGAGACAGAAATGATTTTCTGTGGCTGGTAAGAATGGTAATCCAATGTGTTAACCATTGGGCTGGAGGGCTGCTAAGAAAATAAATGTGCAAAGTGGGTAAAATAAAGGATAAAAGTATGTTTATGTAGGCGTTTCTTCAAAGCTTTCTTCAGTAAGGTGTTTCTGGACACTGCTGTACTGCTTTGGACAAGTCATGTCTGTTAAAATAAAAGTAAGCAAACAGCTTTTGTTTTAGCAATAAATACTGCTAACTGTACCTCTGGATTTCTGCCTTTGCGTTTTTATAATGATTTTAGTGGGCCTAGCTAGAAACAAATTTATTAGAGATAGATAGCAATTACTAATTTGGCACTATTTAATATTAGTTTAATCCGGCAATGATGTCTTCACCTATTATTCCTGGAAGAAACTGCATGAAGTTGTGTGGTTTTGGGTAGTTTTGTGTGGATGTGGGACTGCACAGAGAAGGCAGGTCTCAGCATCAGTGCATGTAAGGAAAGCTTGTCTCTGACCCTCAAGCTGACAGCTTGAAAATGGTCCAGGTTGAAACCCAGGCTGCCAGTACTCTGCACTTTGGCGTTTGAAAATTTCTGGGCGAGACTTAGTTTCAATCTGAAAAGTCAAAATAAAGTGGTTTACACTCAGTTTTGCTTTGTTTGAAGCCAAAACTCAAAGCAAAACTCCTGGTGTATAGATCTGTACGTGGCAAAACATAAGAAAGTGAACCCAAGAGCTCAGCAAACTGAGCAAGCTAGTTTCACTTAGCTCTCAAAATAATCCCCATTTTGCAAGTTCACTTTTCAATTGCACATGTGTGAGATGTCAAAAATGAGCTGGTTTCGCTACCCCAGGGGTAGTGCAGCTCCAAAGCATCACTCTGTCAGAGCAAGGTCTCGTGTGCTCGCTCTCTGTTTCAGCTGATACTTTGGATGTTTGTCAAGAGATAAAAGTTTCTCTGTCCCAGGCTGGTTACGTTTAGCTTTTGTTCATCTGCAAGACAAGGGATTTGGGGTAAGACCCAAATCCCAGCCCGTATTTTTTCATACCCAGCTCTAAATCTCTGGTAATGCTCTAAATGGCACCCAGTCCTCAGACGGCAGGAGTCACTTACTTCACCTCGGGGAGGTCATCCAAGGATTCACGTATGTTAAGTTCAAGGCCTGATGTTGCAGAGATGCTGAACATCTGCTGCTCTCTCTAGCTAGCATGGGAGCTGCGGGTACTCAGGCCTTTGTCAACATCAGATCCTCATTCCCCAGGCACTCTTATTCAAAAGAAAGCAAAGAGCAACCCGCTGGTCTGCTTTATCTTTTTTGTAAAAATGTGGTGCAACTGGCTAGAAGCAAACCTGTGAGCTGCACCCAGACAGTGACACTTTTATCAGAGCATAGCTGAGTGCTTGGGAGCTCGTTCTGTTCAGGGTTCCTCTGCTTACTCATCAGCTGATCCATTTCTTTCCTTGGTTTCCAAAAAAATACTGCGAGACTGCCCTCCTTAGCTGCTAAAATGACCGCTGATGGAAGGGCGAGGCCTCGGCAGTAGTGAGGCTGAGTCAGCTTCTAGATGCAGATCTCAGACTCTGGCAGCTCTGTTAAGAAGGAAGGACTAGAGCGATGTTCAAAAGAAATGTAGTATCAGATCATCAGTGATCTCGTGTGCATATATTTTGCTCATTCAGGAAGCAGAAGTCAAATTCTCATGGCAAGCCAGGACCTAGTAAAATTCAGAGTGCCGGGGAAATGGATGAACTCAAAGATTTAAGGATATCTGGAAATACAGCTCACAAGCTGGGTTACATGAGGATTATATTGTGAGTAGAATTTACAATACCATGGCTCACCCCTGCACAGGAGTGAGTTTTGTCATGTGTGAGCATACGTTAAAGGAAAAACCATGGGGCTGCTGGTGGAAAGCAAATATTACGTGACTCCGAATCTCACTTGGTATTTTAAACCATAAGAGTTTCGGATTTGAGTCATAGTAACTTGTGAGTAAGATATATATATATATGTATAGAGAACTTGCAAGCTGTAAGCAAGGCTTCAGCCTTGAGGTTATTTTCACCTCAAATTGCACATTTGGTCCTCTGTTCTTGTAAATCATTGTAGCCTCAATTCAAATTTAGAAGTCAGGTGAGATGCCTCCAAACTTTCGGAAGAAATTGGATCCAGAAACCTTTATATGCTTCTATTTTCTTCTCTGTTTGGCCACTCTGGTGTCCAGAAGCTCTGGTCCATCCAACATGTTACACCTTTCTCACTCCTCTGCTTCTCTGCATGGCTGACAACAGTCTCTGAACAGAGCTGACATCAAGATTCATCTAACATCTAATTTGCCCTTTCAGAGCTTTCAGCGGCATCAACTCCTTCAGCAGGAGCAGAAACTTTCTTAGCAGTGCTCAGAGAGCACCCTCAACCCAGGATCTTCACTGGAACACCCCTTTTGTCAGAGCAAGAGCTGGAGAAGATGGCACATGAGAGTCATCTCATGTGGGGAAAAGTCTCTTTTCTTTTTTTTTTTTTTTTTAATTCATCACTTTGACTTAAAACACCTAGAGGAGCTGTGCAAGGAGTTGCTTGTTGAACAGAAGACTGTAAGGTAGGATTAGAGGCTCTGCTTAAAAGAAAATCTGTCTCAGCCTAGAGAACAATCCCGCCACAAAATAAAATTAACTTTAAAAGTAATGAGATTTTCCACTGTTAACTTAATAGCAGCAAACCACATGTTCTAAACAATGTTTTATTTTTTTTTTGTATAAGGACTCGTTTTTAGTAACAAACCCCAGACTATTAGCCCTGCCATTTTTTCCACTGCTGGAGGAAAACGTGGACTCTTGCTGAGTTATACGGTGAGTATCAAAGATATTTGAATCTGCCACCAATAAAAAGGCCTCTAAGAACGCTAGCATGGAGGAACCAGTTCAAGGTAGAGGAAATGGAAAAATGGTAAAAAGAAGAAACATCTCTTTGGATCTTTAGCTCTGTTATTTTTTAGATTATATTTCTTCTGGGCTCCCAAAATCTTCAGTAACAAACAAGTTTTCTTTTAAAAAGTATTAAGTTATCAAAACATTTGCCAGGTCCTAATATTAAATCCTAGCAGTCAGCAATGTTTAAATTCAGCCATATCATTTTGCTGAGTAAGTCATGCTAAAACTTAAAATTTTCCCCTCAAAATGATCTTTCCAAATGAGATTGATATTGTGAGAAAAAAAGAAAAAAGAGAAGGACGCCTTCATCATAAGGAATTATGGAATTAATTTTCTTTATACACTGTGTTTGCACAGGACATTTTTGTTAACTCTTAATAAAAATACCATTCAGCTGCTACTTTCATTGTTTTTATCCTGGGACCAATACAACATTGTCATTATTGGATATAAAGTGCTGTAAAAACAAATCTAATTTGTTAAGTTTATTTTGATAAGAAATAAATATAAAGGTAGTGCATAGTTTGTGTAGTGCTGCTATCATAGGACTCCTGGGTATAATTTATATAAAGAAAATAAAAAAGCATACATAACTTTCTAGTTGATTTCCTTTAACAGGGCTAATTGAAAACAGTTTCTGTTATTTAAAAGTAATTTATTTTAAATATACTTTTTAAAACAAAGTTCTTATTGATATCCATTTTAAGTATAATATTATCTCAGTGTGGGATACAAGTAAAAGGTCAAATCTTGTAGGAGTATTTTCTGTATGACTCAGTTCTGATCACAGATAAACTTATCAGGGAAACCAAATTAGTTAACCTTTTCGGTACCAAAAGCTTGTTTTAACAGGCCACAACTGTTTCTTTCACAAATGCAGCACTTCAAAGCTCATGCTTTTGTTCTGAAACATGAAAAAGAGTGTGCTAATTTCCCTTTCCTCTATCTGATAACAGGCAAAGGCTAGTGATTCTTAATATGAAATTGGACTTGTTGAGATTCAGTATGTGGGCACACAAAGTAATAAATTATTGATTTTTTGTCAAGGGTTGTTATGCAACAAAAATGCACCATTTTTTACTTCTAGGATGCCTTTAATTTATGGACATTGTTAAAGAATATGTTTTTTTCTTGTCCAGTAGCCCGATCCTTCTGTACAGGTCTGATTACTGGAGAGCTGAAGCATGCTTTACAAGCAAAATGGCTGCATGGGCACACCTAAAGGAACCTGCCTCTTTCCGTAATTCTTGGTAGGTGCTTCAATTCTTGCCCAGTCAACCCGTTTGTGACATTTCTCAACCCGTTTGTGACATTTCTCAGAAGTCTCTTCAGCTCTGCTTCTTTCCTATTTCCATTGTGGCAATGCCAACAGTTCGATGGCTTGGGTTGCTTCAATACATTCAGTTGACCTCGATGCCAAAACCTGCTCCTCTCTCTTAAAGCCAAATCCGGGGCGATTGAAAGGTTTTTATGGACTTCAGATTTTGCACCACGCTCACGTCTGAGAGAAGCCCTCGCAGATGTTAATGAGCCCGTGGCATTCATGAGCTTCATGGCGTTCGTGCTGTCTCACCACTACCAGCACGACTTAATGTGGTCTTTGGGGGACAGTTTGACTCACTGAGGGCTGTGCCTGCAGACTCACTTCTGCCACCTCTACTCATTTTGCATCGTATTTACTCTCGCTGACGTGCATGGAGAAGTTGTACTCCAGGGGATTAAAAGCAGCAAAGCCCTTCCCCAGGCAGCGCCTTGAGAGCTACACCTCAGGCACTGTCTGGTGGAGAACTCCTGAGATGCAGATATTAGGATTATTCCTCCTGTTCGGTGGTGTTGAAGCAAGAAGAAAATTCAAGGGTAAAGATATCTAGAAATCTGGTTTTGAAGGTCAAAGCACAGGCAGCACTAGCTGAGCTGGAGGAGCGTATTGGTTTTGCACAGCCAAAAGTCAAAACACAAGGCTGTGAGGCATGTCCCAGGCTGAACCAGAATGTGCTCGGGGTGGAAATTTTGTCAGCTGTAGTCATACGCAGTGAAACATTCGTCTCATGTTGGCAGTGGCAATGAACTATTTTTTTTTTTCTTCCATAATTTACAAAAGATGACCAAGTAGGTAGTTAAAACATTTCAATTCTTCCATGAATGGAATAATTTTACACAGTATTTTCTCAGCAGAAAAATAAGTGGCACTTGGGGAACTATTTTGTCATTCTCACAAAATGCAATTTCATACAAACAGGCAAAACAGTGCAATTATCTGGGCAGATAATGCAGCACACTCCACATCCATGGGCAGTGAAGATAGTGTTTTATTCCACGAACAGGAGATGGCTCCTTTGGAAAACTTGCTGGGTCACTTTTAATTATTAAAAGAGCAAATTCACGGTTTCCTCACAGAGCAGTCACGCTGTACAGTATTTTCTTTTTTGTTCTATTTAAATTTAGACCGATTAATCAGACTTCCTGGCAGTGGTTATACGAGGAGGATGACTGAGAATTTAGTAGGTGAGTTAATTCTCATTTTTACTATGTCTCAAGAGCCACCCACTTTCCCTTCCCATGACTCGACACCAACAAGCCTTTACAAGTTTTGCAGAGTGACACCAACCTGGTGACCTCCTGCACCCCTCCGTCATTTACCCTGGTTTTGCTGCTCCCACTTTGACACATTTCTCACATTTTAGCTCCTCTCACCAGCCCCCACACTTGGGTCACCTCCACACATGCCTGGCTGGGTGGCCGCAGACTCAATGGGTTGAAGCCCTGAGGTCCCCAGAAAAACCCCACCTCTAGCCTGGTACCATGGACATGGCCATGGTCTGCATGTCAATAAAGGATGGCTCAAACATTGCGTCTTCTGGAGCCCCATGGGCTTGTTTGATGGGTGAGCATTATGAGATGATGAGGAGGGAGAGTCCAGGTGTTTCAAGGCACCTTTTGACAGATATTTGTCTTTAACCTCCTATCTTCCAAGTTTTGATGTATGCTTTCTAACATTCCTACTTCTAAAAAATTCTAATTGATCTGGGCCTTCTAAATGAAGCACTGCCAAAATGTGGTGGTGCTGAAGTCATGTTTTAGCTCCTGGCTGAGGAGGAGGAGACCACATCTGTCCCCACCACTGCCCCAGGTCATGGGTGTTTGATGTGCCCAGTGCTGGGCTCTCATCCTGCTTGGGGAGACAGCTTCCAGGTTTCAGCAGTCAAAATGGAAGAACTTGAAAGCCTAGCAGAGCTATCAAGTGCTAAAATGATCAAATGCCTTCAAGGGCTGTAGGGAGAGGTGAAAGTTTGGAGCTGGAGAGAGGATTTCTTTTTATTTTTCTTAATTACGTGTAAGATACTACCTCTTTCCACAAATCTCACCACACTTACAGCCTTTGACTGTCTTGGTTGCAACAAGAGTGAACATACCTCCATTTCTTTTCCATTTCAAGCCCTCCAGACTGCAGATGAATGGAATGAGGTGCATCACAGAGTGGTTGGGGTTGGAAGGGACCTCTAAAGGAACCCAGTCCAACCCCCCTGCTGAGCAGGATCACCTACAGCACATTGCGCAGGATGGCATCCAGGTGGAGTTTGAGCATCTCCAGAGAAGGAGACTCCACAACCTCTCTGGGCAACATGTCCCAGTGCTCTGTCACCCTCACAGTACAAAAGTGCCCCCTCATATTCAGCCAGAACCTTCTGGGCTTTAGTTTCTGCCCATTGCCTCTCATCCTCTTGCTGGGCACAACTGAAAAGAGCCCAGCTCCATCCTCCCCTCAGGTATTTATTTATACACATTGATGAGGTCGATGAATGAAGTCCTTACACCTGATAAACCGGTGACAATCTCTGTTCTGTCCTGTGTTCTCACCAGACTCTGCCCTTTTAGCGATACGCAGCCAGACGTTGCTTCTACCAAACACAGGCCTGCAAAAACCGGAGCATCTCTCACTGACAAAGAAACCCGCCTTTTTGACTGAAGTGATAAACAATTGCTGGAGGGTTTCTGCCTCCCTGGCTCCTGAGCACAGATGTCCATTATTAGCGATTATGGACCTTAAACCTTCCCACAATTACAGTTCTGCAAATAGGAAGTGATAGCGAGACACAATTGCTAAGCATGGTCCTGTCGTGTTTGTGGGTTATGTGGTCTTCTCTAAATGTTGAGTAAACACAGTGTCCCACCACAGTTGATTTTTCCCTGCAATATATTATCTTTAATAAAGCCAAAGCTGTACAGTTTGCCCATTGCCCTCCCACTGCATTTTTATGTTCTGAGAACAAAAATTCAACTTTTTTTTTCTTTTCTTTTTTTTTTTTTTTTTTTTTTTGACTGGTGGAGACAATATATATGCTTTTAACATGCTCTCTGTCTTGCTATCCAGCTGCAGAAAGTCCTCCAGTGTGCAAGCCCAGAAGATGTGTTTATGTGTCTGGTCATCTCTGGAATGCGTGGCTGCAAAGCGAAAGGCTGGGAAACTCTTCTGGGGTGGGACGGCTGCGCCGGCGGTGACCTGCCAGCCCCGACAGACGCATTGCTGATGGTGGAGAAGGAAATCTGGTGCTGAGGGGCTTTGGCATGTCCGAGGGATGCTCCGTGCCACCCCACGAGTAAAAAAGCTCATCGGGCACTGCCATGCATCGGGAGGAGAGGTCCACGGTGCAGCATCCAGACTGGTGGGACTCTCGTGTGCTTCTTCCGTGGGCTTCGAGGCGATGGGGTTTTGGGGTCGAGGTGGTCCTTGCATCTCCTGGAGGTTGCTCGAGCCCTTCAGTGCCTCGCAGCCGGCACCCAGCGTTGTGCAGGACGGGGTTCCCGCCGGCTGAAGAGGAAAAAATCCCAATTGCGCAGGGCTTCTGCGTGTGCAAAAGGCCCGCTAGAGAACCGCCGGCGCTAAACTGATCACACATGTCCTTCAGCTTAGGAGAAGGGAGCTCTAAGTGAGAGCATGTGTGCTCCGAGTCCCGGGCTGAGAAAATGTCAGTCTCAGGCGCTTGGGAAGTTCATATTGATACAAACAGGGAGGCTCCCTGCTGCCCACAGATTTCCCACATAAAAGTCCTACTGGTAGCCGTGGGAACTTCGCAGCAGCCACGCTGTGGCTAAAGTCACCGCTCTGAAAATGCAGTGAAATTAGTGTTCATAAAAGTGAAAAACACGCCACAAGAATGAAGACGTTCTGATTCACAGCCATGGAAATTACATGAGCTCTGGCATAGGGAAAAGCTGCGTTTTGCTGTTATCCTGGCTTCAAAAAGGGATTGCTGGTGATTTTTTTAAAAACGCCTCTTTGAGCCTCTTTTTGCCTTTTTGCAAATGATTTTTTTTTCCACCAAGACACAAAAAAGCCAAGCTGTGCCCATTATGCCCCGTGGAAAGGGCAGATCCTGCGCTGCACAGTGGCCTCTAGTGAAGCTGAGCAGTTTGCTCCAGAACCTGTGAAATAATTTCCAGCAGCTGGTTTGTTGCTAATTTCAGTTCTGCCTTTCGGTCTGGCCGTCACCTCCCCCAGCCAATGCCACTCGCTTTGTATATTTTTAAGGAAAAACAAAAAAGAAAAACACGGCAGGCTATGGTGGGGCAGTGGGCTTGTTCTGGTGTGAATTGAACACGAAGCTGGGACCCAGAGAAAAAGGTAATGCTAGCAGTAATGCAGCTCTTATGGTTTAACAGTATTACTTAACATGATTCGAAGTTCCTTTTTTTGACTTTTTCTGCTGTAAGCAGAGGGGATGGCGATGTCGGCTGTGGCTCTTGCTGGTAGACTTCGGATGTGCTGTCAGGGAGCTGTGGAGGCCCCATCCCCAAGCCCTGCTCCAGCACAGGGTGCCCAGGGCCCCGTGCAGGCGCCTTGTGCCGCACTGCCAGGAGGAGCCCCCCCAGCCTCTCTGGGCAGCCTGGGCCAGTGCTCAGCCGCCCGCCCAGCACAGAAGTGCTGCCTGGTGCTCAGAGGGAGCCTCCTGCCTGCCCCTTGGTGCCCACTGCCCCTGGCCTGGCGCTGGGCACCCCTGAACAGAGCCTGGCTGCGGCCTCTTTGCCCTCCCAAGCTCTCCCAAAGATGCCACCACTGAGCAGCACCTCCCCATGGGTTTCCTCCACCACCACCCCATCCTCGCTGAACCCCCTCTGCAGTGCTGGCCGGGCAGCCAGCACCTTCCCACCCCCACCCCCGCGCCCACAGCTCATGACAGCAGCAATCTTAAAAATACAACAGGAAATGATTTCAATAGGGGATGTGGTAGCTGACGGAGAAAAGTGGAGTAGGGCTGAACTGCTGCCGTGCTTTCATGCAAGCACGAGGCCTGTAAAAGAGCTGCAGGGGAGCGTTTGTGTGGCAGAAGGACCCACGCTGGGTTTGGTGGTGGCTTCTGCCAAGACCTGTTGCAGTGGCCACCCTTTCTGCTGGGGTCTGGACGCAACGTGGCAGCATTTGGCTGGGGGTGCCGGGCCCTGGCACGTTATCAGCACGGGACACATTGATAACCCCTGCACACCAACCTCACAACTGCTTCCTGCATCAGCTGCCGCTGGACACCTCGACTTTAATGGGGAAATAATTCACTCACCCACCAGATTCCAGTGCTATAGATACAGCTGGGTCTGATGCCCAAACAAAACACCTACCAAAGCCACTAGTCCTTCTGTGAAGAACCTTTAACATCTGATTGAGTTACCAAACAGGGAGTCTTCAGCTGCCCTGCTCTTGCATGTCCCTGAGAGTACCTCATCCTCTTCATCTTCTGCTGGGAGGAAGAAAAGGTCTGGCTTTACCCTCTCAGGGTAAAAGAGGCTCCTGGGCCTCAGAAAGCTGAGCTCTTTCTGTGAGCCACCGCCGTGGGCTTGGAAATGGGCTTTCAGCCTGCTTCCGCCAGCTCCGCATTTGCAGCGCGCGTTTATTTCTCTCACCAGCTGGTGAAGTGTTTTTTCCTGTAGCATGCAGATGCTCGGGACAGAGGTCCAAATCCTTCTCTGCCTTCAAACACAAGCACGCCATATCTGGGTCAGGAAGTCCCTGACCTGCAAATCATGGGAGGCTGACAGAGGATATCATGGCACTTTTATTACGGGCTTGCCCTCGTCTCGTACTCTTCCCTAGGCATCTGCAATTGCCAGCACTAGAGACAGGATATTGGGCTAGGGGGACCTCTGCTCTGACCTCCTATGGACGGTTTTATGGTCTTTGCTCTTTATCTGCAGCCTCCAGAGGCTAATAAAGATTTTGTGAACATAAAGGATTCGTTGTGATCCAAGCAGAAGCCAGGAGCATAGGAGGGCCCCGAAAGAGCCCGGCGCTGCCAGGGAGCAGAGGTCTGGTAAGAGAAGTGGGTGTCTGGCAAGTGCTGATGAAAACAACTTCCAAGGTCCATCACTGCTAGATAGATGGCCCTCTGCGAGCGATGAAAACGACTGTTCCTGGACTCTTCTTCCATGCAGTGTACGATTTAACAATTTCACCAGCGTTCGCCACTCGCCGTTATCTAAGCGGGGCACGAAATCACAAGGTTGTGCAGGGGCATCGGGCTGGCTGAGACACGTGGTGGTTGTGCTGCCACCGGAGATGAGCTCTGAGATACCTCCAGTGCACCAGGAAATGCCAAGGGGGGGTTGAGACGGCAGAAAAACGCCTGCTGAGACTCCTCTCAGGTCTGTTTTCTCTTCCACCTGCCTCCCTCCTCTCTGAGGGAGCAAGCGGGATGGAAATCCCTTGTATAACTTGTATGCCAGTGGGTTCAGCCAGCAATGGGGCTGGTGGATCCAGCCCATGTTCACCTGGTGGCACCGAGCTTGCCATGGACATGGCACTGGGCTGGGGATACTGAGCGGGGCCGCTAGACCCTCGCCTCTCTGGTTTGGGGGGCCACCAGGTGATAAGGACACCTTGCCTGACCATCTCCAACCTGTGCCTGCCCATCTTTGGGGCTTCTGACAGGGGAAGATGGGCAAATTTGTTCCCATGGGTGATGTGAAAAACCAATATAATCAGACAAGGATTTTCTGACTTATTTTGCTTAGTTTTCCACCTTCCTCTGCTTCCTTCTAGCCTACAAAAATTCCCTTTTCTAGCAAGAAGTCCCATTCTCTTTTTCATCAGCTGCTAGTGCATGTTTTCAGGCTATGGTTCCCATGGTCTATGCTGAAACTGCTTCACCTTCACTAGCTTCACTGCAATCCCCGCACCTCGACCTGGAGCTGCAGTACTGATAGTAGCGATGAAGATGCTATTTTAAAAGCCAGGCTCTACATTCATGCTTTGCCTGTTCCCGAAATAGTCCCGAAGACTCAGATTTCTGGGTGCCACCTCCCATGCCTGGGAGGACGACAGCCCTGCCCCTGCAGCTGGAGCACATCGCTGGCATGGAAAATGCAGCAGAGCTCATGCAGCCACACCACGAAGGAAAACGGGGCACGGCTGGCACAGTTGCTGTGTGCCTGGGTATTGCACGGCTTTAAAAAAAGAAAATCCAGCATTTAATCAGAATGAGCAAAGTGCACGGTCCCACTCAAAAACTGAAAGTGAGGCATTAAAGCTCAGGCCAGTCTGTTTGAAGTTATTCAAGTGTCAATGCAACACACAGCTGAAAAAAAACAAAACACATTGTGTGGAAAAATACTCCCTTCTCACAAGGGTGATTGAAATGGGGATGCTGCTAGGAAACTTCAAAACAGACGAGCAGCAAACCCACAACAATGCGTGGAGGGCATCAGCCTCTTGTAGAAAGGTAAAAATACCTAAACACAAGCAAGTACTCTTAAAAATGTTAGGGACATCCGTGCACACATCTCCCTTGCCTCATGGGTGGGTACCTTCGTTACTCATTCAGTGAGGGACGCAACATCACTGTGAGGCAATAGGAAAAGAGACTTCAGCTGGGTTTAGGTGTTCCTGACACCTGTGCTGGTGGAAGCTGGCTGCTTTCTGCAGAGGTGGACAAAAACCTGTCTCTGCTAGTGGGCTAGTGATGCTGGGGATGAAAACTTCTGAAATATTTGGGACTGCTCAGCCTGGAGAAGAGGAGGCTCAGGGAGATCTCCCCCAGGGCTGGGAATCCCCGCAGGGAGGGGGCAAAGAGGCCGCAGCCAGGCTCTGTTCAGGGGTGCCCAGCGCCAGGCCAGGGGCAGTGGGCACCAAGGGGCAGGCAGGAGGCTCCCTCTGAGCACCAGGCAGCACTTCTGTGCTGGGCGGGCGGCTGAGCACTGGCCCAGGCTGCCCAGAGAGGCTGGGGGGGCTCCTCCTGGGAGTCCTGGGCACCCTGCGCTGGGGGCCTGCTGGAGGTGACCCCCAGAGCTCCCTGCCAGCCTCAGCCATGGTGGGGACCAGGGGCACGGGCAGCAGCCCCTCTCTCAGGGGGTGCCCGGGGCTCTCTCCCAGCCGGCTGGCAGCACAGCGGGGCGCTTCCCGCGGTGTCCGGGACAGCTGTGGAGCACGCAGACAGCCTCCCCCCCACCCCCCCACCCACAATGTCTGCAATGCACACAGCTGCTGCCTGGCTGCCTCACAAAGGTGCCTGGGCGGCAGCACATGGGCCGTCTGCGCCGCAGGCTGCGGGCCGCGCTCGGGCGATATTTTTACAAGTCGGTGTTCGGCCCTGCCTGCAAGCACAGGCACGCTTTTCTGGCATCTAGAGCATTTCGCCGAATGATTCGGTAGCACGCTCCTGACCAGACAGTGCCTTTCCAGATTTAGATTAGCAGGGGAAAACAGCAAGTGGTAGGTTCAGGAGCGGGTCAGGGGATACGTTACACCCGGGCTCCTCCGCCGAGCACGGGAGCGCTCGGGCTCCCCTGGGACCAATACTGTGAGCCGTGCTCAATAGAGATGGCCTAAGGTGTTTGCTTTTATGATTACCAGTGCCATTCGCGCTGGGGAAACGCTGTTATCACGTTGTAAACATCGTTTTTAATATCGCCGAATCTTTGCAGTTGGTGCTCGGGCTTCAAAGGAGGGCGGACGGCGCTTGTTTTGCTCTCAAGCAGCGTTTCAGCAGGAGGTTTTCGGGGAGGAAAAGTAGGGTACAGAGGTGGGAGGATATTCTGGATCTGGTGACAGACTTGCTCTTAAATAAGTATTAATGCCAATGCGTCCGGTTTGGAGGAGGGAGCCAAGGAAAGCTGTAACCCGGACGGTGAAAACCAAAATTGGTGGATATCCACACCGTGGATATGGGTGAAAACCCAAATGTTGCACCAAAACACTGCCACACAGCACAGACAGCAGCGTTTAAATACCCCATCTGTAACAAAACCTGAATTTAACAAACAGCAGGAGCCAGCTCGCTGCCCCAGCGCATAGGCACCACCCGAGAGCTGGTGGAAGCGTGTTTCCTGATGGTCTGAAAAATGAAAAAAAAAAAGCAGATCCCGATAATAACCTTTAGTGACTGCAGCCTGGCTCTGAAGGCTGCAGGATTTTCAGATTACATTCCATTTGGTTAAACTTCAGGGTGCTTTTTGCAAGGAAACATTCCCCTTTCACGCAGACCAAGGCTGCACAAGCCCCCTCAGCCCTTCTCCCAGTGGAAATCGTGCTCACCGAGCTCTGAGATGAGGACAGAGAGCTGCTTGCCCTCACCGTGCCATAAGAAACGAAGCGCTCTGTCTCACCCTTGCTGTGCTGAGCTGCTCGTGCAAGCGCTGCGTGTTTGCTGAGTAAGATCTGGCCCGCGTAGGAGTAAGTCATTAATAACGTGCCCACAGTCACACTTCAGCTCACGCCGGGCTCTCCCACATTGCTGTACGCAATGGTGCTTTTAATACTGCCGTGCCCCTAAGGGTTGCTAAAAGTGTTTTTTTGGGAACGTGGTCACTGTCCTTGGGCACATCTGGGGGTGCCAGAGCCACCCCTGCCCAGGGGTGTTGAAGGCGATGGATGGGGTTCACGCCTGACCCAGTGGTGGGGACATCTCACGTGGCACCTGGGGTGCTCATCTGCTTCTAGTAGGTGGTAAATTAGATTTTACTTGAAATATATTTATTTATTTATCTATTTAGAGGCAGAGCAGTGCAGTGTCTAGGCCAGAAGGGGAAACAGCTGCAAAGGTGA